ACACACGTCTAAAATTCTCAAACACGCCGGCTAGTAATAATGTGTCGGTAGTCACTTACAAGTCGTGATATTCGCCCAAGTTTTTTGACCTTGAACTCTTTCTCGTCGAGCTCTGTCATAGTCTTCACGCCATATCCCTTCGTCTTTTAGACTGCTGTAAAACTTTTCGATTGGTGGTAGATTGGTCTCTTCAAATTTATCAAACGAGTCCATATATTCGTAAGGATAAACTCCTTTTCGTAGTAAAAGGTCTAAACTCTCTGAATTTTTAAAATGTTCTCTCAGTAAAGTAAAGGACTCTTTTGGACAAGCTTTAACTAAGTTGTCAAGCGATGACGCCATAAAATTAAACGAGTCTATAAATCGTAGATTTCCGATTAAAAACGAAATATACTTTTCTGAATTTCTATGGATACAATTTATTTTGCCTTTGCAAACAGAAATGCCTTGCATGATCAAATGCGCATCGTAATTTTGTAAATTGTGTAATATGACCGGTATCGGAGTACAACCAGGTTTAACCCTTAGCTTGGTGTTACAGTAGGCATGTGCGGTACCTCTATATTTACCAGTGACGTGGCAGTGATCTCTCTCCTTTCTAAATTTGTTAATCTTCTTTTTGCAGTCGAGACATTTAGACTCGATAAATCCCTTACTATTTTCGTACTGATATTCTTTTATTTGTTTTGTCGTGGTTCTTTGGGTTTCTGGCACTGACAGTTGCTCGAGTAATTGAGATAAATTGGTTCTTCGCAAATCCAACACGCGTTTGTTTTTTCATGATTTTTTTATCTCGCTCAGTAAATTCCATGGGTACAGTATGGGATCGTCAAATATGCAATTAATATCGCGTTGTAATTGTAACATCTTCTTTACAAACTTAGTTGTGGCGTCTTTGCCCCTGTAAGTTTCTCGATACATATTTTCCCCATCTAACGACTACCAATGAATAACCGTTTGCTTTGTGAATGTTTGTCTTTTGCGTTTTTTCCTTTATATCGTGCAGAGTTTTTTCTAGTACCGATTCAAAGTCTGCGTAAATGACAAATGGTGCTTCCTGTACAAATCTGTGGTTTTTAAATTTTAATACGTTGTTCTCAGGAAAAACGATTTTAGACGGAGGCTTGTCTATTCCCTCACAATCTTGTTTGTGTCCATCCATAGTTTTTCTTGCATTCTGTAGTGTGACAGACATCTTCGACGGAAATATTCCTTATGTTGAACTGCCGTTACGGTATAAAATAATCTAGAAAATTGTTTTATCCAACAGTAGTGACTCTTATCACCGTTGGAAAATAACAACAGATCGATAGCCTCAACGGTGAGATCTGTGTTTTTAGATAATGCCAATACATGTTCTCTTGTTCAGTATAACCAAAAACGTTTATCGATAGATTATTTTGTCTTTCTACCCTAGACATTTGATCCACTGGTGTGGGAAAGTCTATATTTTCGAATTTCAATCCATCGTTCGTGTTGTATATCGTAGTTCTCTCTTCGTGGACCTGATATCTTGGGTTGTTTTTGATTCGCTTTTTTACTTTGTCCGAAGAGCGGCTCTCAAACACCATCTCAAACATTCGTTGTCTTTGTTTTGTATGTTGATAATCGCCTTTTTATTTTTGAGATACCGGTAGTCAGGTAGCTCTATGTAAGAACTTCCTCCTGCTTGAGCATAACGGTTTACGTTAATGTAAAACGCGAGTATTTTATCGACTACCCAACCTGATCCTGGATTTGTATGACTCGCGTGTTTTTCTTTTACTTGATCGATCGCTTCTTTAAGAATTTGCTTTACCTGACTCTCCCTCAAAATAACCACATTGTTACTGATAAAGGTAAATTCAGCAGTCACCCGTTCTCCATCAGGTACATTTTTAACGTACCTCACTATTATCGCAATTTGAAGCTTCATATTAGTGAGTTCTCTCAGTTCTGATACGACTTTGCTTTCGATCTGCCGCGCGTGAGTGTGAAAAAACAGTTCAACGTCATTATTAAACTGGAATCAGTTCCCAGTTTCGAAAGTTATTACTAAACCTTCTGGTACCTCTGAAGTCAGCCTCTTAAAAATCTTCGGGAGATTTAAATCTCTTGATTGCTGAGATAAGATCCTTTTTTAAAAAACGACCTTTATAACCCGTCGGTACGTATTCTAGATTTTGTTCGTCTACAATTAGTTTGAGTTCATCTAGTGTCTTTTTACTCAAGTTTTTATATTTACTCTCTTCAGCCCTTATAGCCTGAATATAGTCTCGACGAGTATAATTTTCTCGTTCATCGATCACTATATTATTTTGATCAATGTAACTCTTCAATGCAGCCTTGACCCACCACGAATACCCTTTAGGTGATGGTTTTGAGTTGGTCTTCATTTAATATATAGAGATATTATCTCTTCAAATATGGACTAGATAAAAAAATAATTATTTAATTTTTTTTTAAATAAAACCAAAATGTTTATCATCTTTAAGACAGAGAGATATTGGGGTTTTGGCACCGTACCCGCCCCTTATAATATAACAACTCAGAGACAGAGAGAGGGGAGAGATATTGGGGGTTTTGGTCTGAGGCCGAGACAGAGGGAGATATTGGGGTTTTGGAATAGTACCTGCCCATCTCCCTGCTGCACTGAACCAATTCAAGCCCCATTGAAAACAGTGTAAAATCAACAAAGTTCAGGGCCAAATTTTCAATTTTGGGTAGGATTAGCCGATAACATTTTTGAAAAATTCACACAAAACAAAATCACCTCCCGAAAACTGCATGTAGCCGTTTTACAAGTGGCATCCTTCCACTTTCTCAGGCAAATAGGACCCATTTTTCAACCGTAATTTTATCAAGCCTGCCCTCAGATGGAAGCCCAAAAACCAGGGAGTTTATCGTTGGCTACATTTACCGGTACACAATTCCACCGTTTTTAAAGCCAAAAGTCTCCGTTTTCAAAAGAAACTGTTTAGTCGCTTTTTATGCTAATCGGCTAGCTTAGAAATTCTCACTTAAATTAGGCCTAGATCACTGCACCCTAAAGGTTTGCCGTCTCTGGCAAAATATACACTGCCAACCGAAAAACGGTAATCCTTACCTTTAGGACACGAGGATCCCTTTCCTATATAAGGCGAAGTAAAAAAAAAAAGTTTCTTGTCCGGGGTTTTTTAAAAAAGGGAGAAAGCGGGGCCTTTTATTTTTTAATTTTTAATTTTTTTCAAGATGGCCGCCATTTTAACATTTCCTGCAACCGTTGGTTGTGACAACTGTTCAAAGAGACTTTTAAAATAAAAGACAAGTTGGACAAGAGAACTGAACATATTTACAGTCGGAAAAATTATGAATATTATGAATATTATGAATATTTAAATATTCATAATGACGTATTGCACTATCATTGGCCGGCTCATGCGACGTCATGGTTGTCGATGTCATGCGTCATGCGTACCGCTGTCTGTCAGCCACACTTCAATCAGTTTTGACCAGCTGCTAAGTTCAACTTAGTTCCGCATGACGTGTGCATCTGTTGTGCCCATTCTTGAAAATCACGCATTCTCGAGAATGGGCATGCACATTCTCGAGAATGGGCGCGCATTCTTAAGAATGAGCGCCCATTCTTAAGAACGAGCACGCGTTCTTAAGAATGAGCGCTCATTCTTAAGATTGGGTGGGAATATCACGTGCACAATTTATGAATTTTGCCCAATCTTAACAAACATTGCACGACATAATTATGTTAAATGAATTGTATAGCGGTTAAAGGGTAAACAATTCATATAAAGAGGAAAGAAAATGTGCTATGCTTCTGTACTCGTATAACTACGATAATTTGAATCAAATTAAACCTGTTATTATTGCTTTTTTCTGCCCACTATGGGAAGTTTTGTAATAACGGAGGACTGGGAACTAGTCTGGGAAGTGCTTTGTTTAGGCTAGACAAGTTACAAGTCCCTGCATGTATCATAATTATGCGAAAAAAAACGATGTCCAGAAAGCTGCCAAAATTGCTCTTTTGACTAGATAGAATCCAGCTCTGCGACGTTATGGTGGGATGTGAAAAATAAATTGGTGGCAATTTAAATGGGAAATAGCATTAGCACTATGGGATGTAGCAGTATTCATTCTCATTCTTCACATTCTTCATTCTTACGTCCCCCCCCCCCCCCCCCCCCCCCCTTTTATTATCCCAAAAATCAGAATTCTTTGCACTAGTATTATTATGTCTCCTATATTTTCCCGGTATTTTTTTGCCAAGATTGAGCAAGGATCCAGTTGCACATTCTCAAGAATGTGCATGCCCATTCTCGAGAATGCGTGATTTTCAAGAATGGGCACAACACATCCAAAATGGGCTCTAAAAACACGTTTTGCCTAATTTTTTTTCGCATTAACACAGCTTCCTGGATTCCTCTTGGGTGAATGCACAAGGTGAGGTGAACACTGATGTGTTTAGCGGCAGGTAAAGTCATGGCCCAGTATGGAATTTTTCCCACAGTGTCATTTAGAGTTGTATTGGTATTGTTTTCCGATGAATTTGTGGACTTTTTCTGTGTTTTTTGGCTACATTTTTCAAAAATAAAAAATAATATAAAAATCCAGGCGGGCCTCCAAAAAGGAAGCGGGCGGGGACGAGAAAGTTAGGGTTTTTATTTACTTCGCCTAAGGTTAAAAGACTCACTAAAACAGCTGACTACTCAAAAGTGACATTCTATATTTCTATATGAACATGTTGAAAGTGCTTTCAAAATTACAACCAACATGAGTTTATCTGAAGTAAAAAGACTGCTGTAGCCTGCAAAAGTCACTTTGGTACTGTTGGACAGTCATCTGCGAAAGTCAGTTTTGGACAGACTGACAGACATGACAGAACTCGTAGTCGTACAAAATAGAGGTGTCCTAAAACTAAAAGTAAGGATTACCCGAAAAACACCACAAATAAATTGGCATAATTAATTTTATTGTCTAGGCCCTTAAATCTTCAAGATTTTGTGCTCGTAGTCGTCGTAACTTACCTGGATTTTCCAAAGATCCCAAAGACTCAATGCCAATGGAGAAAGGTGCATTATTTGCTTACACTAGTTACAATACATCAGATAATTGCCTTCGGCCAAACAAAATGGTGACGGATCATGATCGATAAGGACATACCGGCGATAAATTCCAGCAATTTCCACGAAATTTACATATTACACTATTTACACAGCTGTGTTTTACGCATCAAATGCACCGCTGCACCCACGAGGTCTATGGCGTGCCAAACGTTGCAAAATTCAATGTTTTACAATATATATGTTCGATGTTCAACATTTGTGTGTTATCTTTTACATTTATATGTGACAAGCTGATTTATCGGGTAGGGCTTAGTGTTGGGGATGAAATTGTGGGGAGTTAAATGTAAATGGGGGATATAGTTGGGGAGACATGCAGTCATAGAAAATCAATTTCTGTGGTGTGATCTGAGGCAATTTCTGACCACTAAAACCAATTTGAGCAAAAGATCATCTTTTAAAGTTTTGAGTTTTGAGTAATGAATCAGCTACATGTATTCTGAGCAATAGAATAATTATTGTAGGCTACAATTTGTATTCGGGGAAGAAAAAGTGGGGAGGACCAAACAATGTCCCCCGCTTTAAAATGTGGGGGGGGGGCCCTGTCCCCTGTCGATTTACGCACGTGATAATTATGTACCATGGCAACTGTCTGTAAATGTTCCCGTTGGTCTGTTAAATTGGCATTTTGTGAGGCAGTCGCATTTGGAAAACGCAGTGAAAAGGTTACTGTAGTACACAGGCGAAGGCTGATTGTACAGTTTTGACAATAAATCATTATGCAATAAAAAAAAACGTGAAGGTGTCATTTGAAACGAAATTTTTTAGTGTTACCATAAAAATTACAAACGGTCTGAATCCGCTGGAGGAAGGTCATAATTAAGTTTCAGTGTTGGACTCTTCAACAAACGTAAACTTGAACTTTTTACAATTTGCGAGACCGTCTGCGAGGAACAAGTCGATTCAACTTTTATTCAAGTTAATTCAACCATCTTGAAGAGCAAGTTTTACTCGGCCTCCGAGAAATGTTTGCTCCTGAAAGGATCTGAGACCGCGGTCTCCGGCGACGCCAAAATGGCTCCACGTCCGTGGAAAAATGTGAAGGGTGTCTTCCGCGGGGTCGGACACTTTTTCGTCGATGTTTTTTGTGACAATGCATGGATCCTTCGTTGATCCCAAGCAGGCCCCGAAATTATAGTGTGACACTGAATTATGAGTGGCGGGCAGCGAACTCACAACGCTCAGCCTTGGTGGACGCACACCGCTGTTTCGGCCACAACAGAGCACTCTATCACTATATCACGTCACATGCTTGCTCTTCAAATAGCGAGCACCGTAGACCCAACCTCGTTTCCAGGGTGTGGAGTAGGCTGCAGTGCGCGTTGCCATCGACGGTTAAATTACGCATAGTATCTTTGGTACTACGCAGTGTAGACTTTCGATTGGTCAGACCGCGCAAGGCATACTAATGTGTACTCAGCGCAGGGGCGGCAAGCAAAGCATATGAAAGAATAGGGACACTTGGTGGCCACGCACCATGGACAAAAAATATTTTGCCAAGGTCACCCCATACAACCGTTTGGTGAACACTTTTGCAGAACGGCCAAGTAGAACACGTAAACGGAACCCCTACGTTGAAGCCGCTAACCTCGCACAGTCTAGACTCGCAGTCAACGTGAAAGCGCACACGACGGCAAATTCCTGTGCAAAATGCAGTCACGAAAAATCGACGAAACGGATCGCCGGTCTGTACCGGAAAATTAGGACGAAAAGTGTCCGACCCGGCGGAAGACACCCTCCTCATTTTTCCACAGACGTGGAGCGATTTTGGCGCTGCGCGCCAGCCCAACTAATTTCACATTGAGGTTTCCAGGCAAAACATTATAAACATACATGGTTCATCAGAATTACGGATTTCCATGCTTTGAAATGAATTTGCTCCATGAGACAAATTTGGGGGTTTTTTTTGTTTGTTAAATCATCTTACGAAAGGGGGAATTAATGAAATAGAATTCTGCCCCGAGAAAATCGACACACTGGCAAGCCCAGCCCAATTAATTTAATTTAAAAACGGAGATCTGACCTTTTGCAATTCCCTCAAATCCACAGTGCAATCGGGTCGGGAAGGGCCACGTTCTGAGGCCGAGGGCCCGGAGATCGAGAGTGTCCGGCCGGTGCTGGCAGGCGCGGTCCGCGGATGGGAGTGCACGTGCCGTTCGTTGCGCCCCGCACACCGTTGAGGTCCGATGAAGCAGCCGCGGCCGCAGTGACGTAGCCACGGGGGGGGGGGGGGGGCGACAGCCCTCCCAGTCGCCCCCCAGTGCCCCCACTGAGATTTTGAGTTTCTAAAAAAATTATCATTGATCTACATGACGCCCCCATGAAATGTTCCAGCCCCCCAGCGCCCCCCCCCCCCAACAATTTCTGGCTACGCCATTGCGCGGCCGATATCGGGTTCAGCTATTGGTTTGGATGGCAAAATATTGCAAAAATAGCAAACGGACCGGGGTTTGTACCCGAACACAGTGCTCGCCCAAAACGCACCCATTTCGCCGATAAGCACAGAGCCCCTTGCTCTAGGATGTAAGCCTGAGCAATCATATTAGTGGTAAAATTTTTCAGACTTTTTAACTTTTTTGTGTGGTTGTAGTCGGTATCGGCCGTATTATATCATGGTCTAAATCCCTCTCGGCGCCGCTCCCCGACTCGACTTTACAACGCTCATCGGATTCGACATTTTGTACTATAAAAAAGAGTGCAACTTGAGAATAAGTCTAAATTGGTACTTCACTACTTGCACTGAATATTAATAGTCAAGTTTTAAAAAGAAAATATCTTCGGCCAAAATGTCACACCGTGAACTTCCATCGTGTGCCACATAAGCCAATGAATTACGTAACTCTGTTGGTCGCCTATCAGCTTATGTAAACAAATTATCATGTAACTGGATCATTAAATGGGACAGGTGGACACTTGGCCTTGGAGCTTCCATGTGTCATGCACTCCTCAATGCATACATAACATATACGTAGTAGCTTGGATAATGTACATAGCACTATATAATAGTACAAGCACAGCTGCTGGGGGTAGTGCCCAAACAATGATGAATGCATAGCGCACGCTTACCCACAATTCCGTTTTTTACTGCTTAGGTCTGGCTCTAATCACTTACGCGATCCCCTGGCGTCTCATACACTGACTTTAGGCAAAATAGTCAGACTTTCGCGGTCTACTAACCAGACTGTGACTCTTAATGAAACATCAAATGTAAAGTGAAACATCAAGAGATCGAATAGATACCGATGAGACATCAAATATGTATTGCTCGAAAATCGAAATATCAAACATATATTTGTAAAACATGTCTCTCATACTTGAGAATATCGCAAATATGTTGTGAAACATCGCACACAATTGTATCGAAAAACATCGCACAAAAATGTAAAACGTCGAACATATATTGAAAACATCGCACATATATATCGTTAAACCTCGCACATATTGAAAATCGCACATAAATGTAAAACATCGCACACGTATATTGTAAAACATCGCACACATATATTAAACATCGCACATATCATAAAAATCATCGCACACTTATATTGAACATCGCACATTAATGTAAAAGATAACACACATATTGAACATCTAACATATATATTGTAAAACATTGAATATTGCAACGTTTCACACGCCATAGATGATAGAGGACAAGCAGAAATAAAGTATGGCACCCTTTGCTCTTCTAAATTGATTTCATGCACAAGCAAGACTGAGTACTTGACTTGTCATCCCATAAAATCCTTATGTATGTACCTGAGTGAACCTGGCCGCGTATTCGGCCAGATACCACAGCCGCGTATTCAGCCGTGTATTCAGCCGCGTATTCATCAAGTACGGAGGCCAATAAACAACATTACTGATGTGATAATTTTTTAATTTAATGCGGATTTCATCGAGGAGTGTACCGAAAATGAAAGATGTCAGTATTATGTTTGATGGTCAGTTATTTAGGTCTCGTGGCTTCCTATAAATTATTTTGGTTTCAGATCTAGGGCAACTATGAATCACGTGATACTCGTCCTGAGAAAAATCGTACTAAAATAGCATTTTGCGGTTGAACAACATTAAACTACTTCGAGACAAAGTGTACCAAACAGTGAAGGAAAAAAAGTCAAACCGCCGATGTCATCTTAAAGAGTGGTGTCCCGCCTACACTTTATTTTGGTTTCAGGTGTATGGGATGTGTCTGTCACGTGACAGTGGCATAACATATTGGGCTTTCACCGCCAAATTTACTTTAAATGTTTAATGCGGATTTCAGGAAAAAGTGTACCGAAAATGCAACATGTCCGAATTATGTTTGATGGTCAGTTATTGAGGACTAGAGGCTTCCTATGATTTTTATTTTGGTTTCAGATCTAGGGCAGCTATGAATCACGTGATACTCGTCCTGAGAAAAATGGTACTAAAATAGCATTTTGCGGTTGTACAACATTACACTTAAGTTAAACTTCGAGACAAAGTGTACCAAACAGTGAAGGAGAAAAAGTCAAATCGCCGATGACATCTTAAAAAGTGGTGTCCCGCCTACACTCTATTTTGGTTTCAGGTGTGTGGGGTGTATCTGTCACGTGACAATGGCATAACAAAATGGGCTTTCACCGGAAAATTTACTTTATTTTATATGTTTAATGCGGATCTCAGGAAAAAGTGTAACGAAAATACAACATGTCCGAATTATGTTTGATGGTCAGTTATTGAGGACTAGAGGCTTCCTATGAATTATTTTGGTTTCAGATCTAGGGCAGCTATGAATCACGTGCCTCGTCCTGAGAAAAGTCGTACTAAAATAGCATTTTGCGGTAACGTTGTACATTTAACTTAAGTTATACTTCGAGACAAAGTGTACCACACAGTGTAGGAGTAAAAGTCAAATCGCCGATGTCATCTTAAAGAGTGGTGTCCCGCCTACACTCTATTTTGGTTTCAGGTGTGTGGGGTGTATCTGTCACGTGACAATGACATAACATAATGGGCTTTCACCCCCAAATTTACTTTTATTTATATATTTAATGCGGATTTCAGGAAAAAGTGTACCGAAAATGCAACATGTCCGAAT